TGTAAGCTTGAGCACACACATCTCGCACTCCTAGCTTGTATTTCTTTTTACTATTATATTTTTTTTTATAAATTTCTTTATGTGAGACTGATGAACGGAAGTTAAGACTGATAGACAGTATTTCAAAGAAATGTGGCTTCTACTTCCGCATTTACCTCCAAAACCCAGGGCACGTACCCTGGATATCCTTTTTATTTGTGCAACGTTTTTAATTTTTTTGTTTTTTTTTTGTTTAGGTTCGTTTTGTTCATTAAAATGCATTTCAAATATAAGGACAAAAAGTAAATTGGTATGCTATTTTCATATATTTCCGAAAGAACAAAATACGAACAAAACTATACAAGCATAAAACAAACTAAAAGGAGCATTAAGGTGATGTTAGTGTATTTTGTATCTATAACATTGTCGTAAAACCGTCAGTCCGTTGTAAAATTAGCTTGAGACCATTTTTACAAGTTAATGTCGTTTGTTATTTTTATGAGTAAATGACTTTCATGAATTTCCAGTCTGTTATGTAAATAATAATTAATTTCAGTTTTGATTTGCCCTTTTTTCTTTTATATTAAAGCAGTATTAATATATAAAATCAAAGGTTTCATTAATAATTAAACATGCCAAGTCTGACACTTAACTAACTTTTCCCTAAAATTAGAATAGAAATCGAAAATAAATAATGGAAAATATGTCTTTCACCTAGTTATTTATATTTCTATATTTATTTTCATAATTACAGTTTTTGCCTTTAGCTATCTATGAAAAACCTTTAATTTTGAGCTACCTATTATAAATTTAATACTGGAAAACAGTTGCTAGAAATGGAATTATTTCACATTTCATTAGTTTATTAATTCATTTCGCACGTCTTCGAAAAGTTTATTTGTGTTTTAACAGCCCAGTCTACCATAAACATCAAAGGTTCTTTCTATTTTATATTACTCCTCACAATGGATTCAGCTTTGGTACACACTATACACAGCGTGGTCACAAGTAAATAGATACCACCTTTTCAGAAAAAAATAAAATTTTCAGTCATATTCACATGAATTGATATATTTATGATTTAATTAATATCTAGTAGATCTTCCTTTCGCTTCGTGGAGTTCGTTGATCCTTTGGGGCATCGTGGGAATCACCTCGTCAATTTTAGATTGTTGAATTTTCGCCCACTCTTGCTTCAAAACTTGGAGTAGATCGCTCTTCGAAGTTGTTTTTTTGTTGTTGTTGTTGTTTCTTGACTTGCCGATCGAGTATGGCCCAGAGGTTTTCGATGGGGTTCATGTCAGGAGATTAAAATGATATCCAGAAGTTGCCCTGGCCGAGCCTTGCCACTTTATTCTTCTGGTTTCGTGGACAAAAACACATCGTTGTTTCAGGAAGATGGAGCACCGTGTCACACTGCTAGAAACACCCAAAAGTGGCAGAAAGTGGGAGATCGAGCTTAGTGGAGTGCGTTGGCAACATAAATTTTGCGAAATACGTCGAAATATTGGAGGAAAAACTCTTACCACTTTATTCCTCGGGTTTCGGGGACAAGAACCCAACGTTGTTCCAGGAAGATGGAGCACCGTGTCACACTGCTAGAAACACCCAAAAGTGGCAGGAAGAAAATGGTATCCAGAAGATTGCAGCCAACTGTGAAGCATGGTGGTTTCAGCGTGATGGTTTGGGGAGCTGTTTGGGTTGGGTGTTGAGCCAAAACTCTTGGTGAGGCATTCTCCAGACCCATATCTTTCCACTGTCCGAAAATTGAGCGAATCTTGATTCGTCTGAGAACAATACGTTCTTCCAAACGTCCAGAGGCTTGGTCATCATATCACTTGCCTACTTCTTTCGTCTGACTATGTTGGCAGGTATTAATAAGGGCTTCCGTCTAGCTGTTCTGCAACGGTAACCCAATCTATGGAGAATCCGTTGAACAGATTTC